AGCAGGTTGCCAAAAACGCTCCAAGCTTGGGCACTTGGCTGGCGGCGGCGTGCTGGAGCCGCTCGTGCGCATGACCACCACAGGCGCGGTGAGCTGCAAGGGCGTCTTCTGAGCAGACCGACCGTCCCAGCATTCCTATAGGCCTACCACGAAATGTGCTTAGAACCCCAAACTGTTCGAATGACAGAAACCGTGTTCTTAGAACACGAGCCCGATGTGTTAAAACAAGACAGCCCAAGCCAGAAATGTTCTGAGAACATTTCGTGCAGACCACAAAAGGTTCCTAAAAACATTACTTGGTGGGCCTATAGGCGAGCCGGGAAGCTACGCCACTGCTTGAGTGAGCCCCAAGGGCGTCTTCGGGGTGCACGTTCCACCCGCTGGCGGGTGCACTGTTTCGCCCAGGGCCGTAGGCGACCCGAGGAGGAGGAGGAGGAGGAGGAGGAGGAGGAGGAGGAGGAGGAGGAGGGGGAGGAGGGGGAGGTGGAGGAGGGGGAGGAGGGGGAGGTGGAGGATGAGATGGAGGGGGAGGAGGAGGAGGAGGAGGAGGAGGGAAAGGAGGAGATGGAGGAGGAGGGAAAGGAGGAGATGGAGGAGGAGGAGGAGGAGGAGCCAGACGGCCGTCCTGGGGAGGACCCTCCTGCTGCTGCCGGCACGGTGGTCAGGCTCACGGCGAAGGAGCGCGGCCGCTTGGCCTCCGTGGTTGCCGACGGACAGTGGCCCACGGGCGCGGAAGCTCTCCACGGGCGTGGCGCTCGGCAGTCGTTGCCTGCTGTGCAGCGAGTAGGCCACGCTGCTGCTCAGGCACTGCGATTGTCCTGGCTGGCCTACCGAGCCTCAGCTGCCTTCTCGCATCCGTGCTCTTCGACAGCGTGCTGATGATCTTCGGGAGGTGAGGTGTCTGCTGGAGCGTGCGCTATGGCCAGCGCCTCGCGGCCTCTACATGCCGCCCAAATCTGACAACCTGTGCTGGTTCGGCGACTCCGACGGGACCCTGCCGTCAGGCGTGCTGTTCTTGACGGCTCCGCGTTCGAGAGCGAGTTCACGAGGTACACCAGCGTGGGCTGGGCCGTGATCGCACTGATGGCGAACTGCGAGGTCTTCTGCGTGGGCGTCTCTGGCATGTTGGCGGAGGCCTTCATGGACATCAACGGCGGCGAATTGAGCGCGATCCTCGCCGTGCTGCGATACGCGGTGCCGCCCGTCACGGCCGTCGTCGACTCGAAGTTCGTATTCCTGGGGCTCCCGCAGGACGGGCGTGAACGCACGTGTTCCTACGCAGGTCGGCGACGGCGTCGTGGGCTACAGGGACTGGTACGGCAACGAGCTGGCCCAGGAGGCGGCCAAGTCGGCGGCGGCGGATGCCAGGCTGTCTCCCGCTAACCGCCTCAAGATGGTGCAGAGCGAGCGCACAGTGGAGGGCATCGCGATGTGGCTGCCGGCGGTGGGCTCGGCCGTGGGCGGCGAGACACGACGACGGCGCACAGGAAGGAAGGGCAGGGCCAATCGCCCTGCTCCGCGGCCCGCCGAAGCGCGGCCCCGCGCGCCGGTTTTGGCAGGCCAACTGCGGGGCCCCGTGGGCAAACAGTGGTGTTCCGTGTGCAGGTGGATGGAGCCCTTGTTTAACCGATCCCCATCCCCAGAGGCGTGGCCTGGGCCCCACTGGCCGATGTACCCCCCTAGATGGGGATATAGGCCGTTCCCTTCGGGTTTCGAGGGGTGTACCCCCAACTGGGGTGGTAATTTGGTGGGGGGCTCGAAGGGGATGGGGACGGGGATGGGGATCGGTTGAACGATACCGAGCCCTGGCAGCATCGTGGCGGCGTCGCTTGATCACAACCGCGTGATCGCGGATGCCGGTCGACGGGCCCCCTGCCTGGCGCGGGTGGCGCCGCAGGCCGAGGGCCAGTTGTTCTGCGAGCTGCCCGCGCTGGCCTGTTTGTCGTGCGGCGCTACTGGGGCGTGCCGTGCGAGTTCGTTCAACCGCGAGTGCTCGGCACCGTCCTCCAAGGGGAAGGGCGTGCCGAACAAGCTCGCCGTGGGGATGGCGCCGTTCGGGGAGAACGCCGCCGTGCAGGTGCGGATGCCGCGAGTGCACCTTCCGAGGCGTTCGAGTTCGGGAACTCGCTGAACACCTGCCTCAGGCGCCGCTGGGCTGAGGTGCCCGCGGAGCTTCGGCGCGCGGCCGCGGCCGCGCGGCTCGGCGGAGAGAATCTTCGCCGTCGGCGTCGCGCTCTCTCCTCCTTCTCCTCCTCCTTCTCCTCCTTTTCCCCCTCCTTCTCCTCCTCCCTTCCCTCCATTACTTTTCCTAATGAATGACTTCTCCCTGTCACACCCTGAGACCAGCTTTTAAGGCAGGCCGGGAGTGTCGACTGAGACCTCCTCACCGCTTATGACCCTGAAGCTTAAACCATTAGAACAGTTTCACAAATGGAGGGCGGGTGGTTTTTAAAATGTGGCCGTCGCCTTAGTGCCGAGCACACCTGTTTTCAAAATTCAAGGATTTCGCGGATTGAGGGATGGTCTTTTTCAAAATGTGGCTCTCGCCTTAGCGCTGCGTACGTTCAATTCAAAAAGTTTGCAGGGGTTTCACGGATTGAGGGCGGGTCGGTTTCAACATGTGGCTCTCGCCTTAGCGCCGCGCACATTCGTTTTGAAAATGCGCCAGAGTTTCACGAATTGAGGGTGGGTCGGTTTCAAAATGTGGCTCTCGCCTTAGCGCCGCGTGCATTCGTTTTAAAAATTCGCCAGAGCTTCACGGATTGAGGGCGGGTCGTTTTCAAAATGTGGCTCTCGCCTTAGCGCCGCGCACATCCGTTGTTTGAATATACAAGAGTTTACGGATTCCCATGATCAACATACTGGAAATGGCGGTTTGGAAGGATTCAGGATTATGAGGGTGTAGCGGTTACGTTGATTCGCGGTGTTGAAACAAGAATGGCGTTCTGGCACGATTCAGGATCGTCTAGACACGAAAGTCAGGATGATCCGTGGCGTTGGAATCCCGAGAACAATGTTTTGGCATGCTTCAGGGTCTCCAAACGGTTGTCTTCCAACAAGGCAGTTTCCTCAGTGGAAATGAACCGTTGTAGGGACATATGAAGAGGGAGCTTAGAGGAAGGGTTCCTTCCAACATCGTTGCTGACTCTTGGGTTTACACTGGTCTTCCTCCTCCTCATCATCATCCTCCTTTACCATCTCCTTTTCCTCCTCCTCCTCCTCCTCCTCCTCCTCCTCCTCCTCCTCCTCCTCCTCCTCCCCCTGTCTCCCCCATCCACCCTTTGCCCTCCTCCCCCCCTCCCCCCCGCCCTGCATCCCTTCCCCCTCCTCCCCTTCCTCTCCAAGGCTTCTCCCTACAGCCCACTTCCCCCGCTGCCTTGCAGCTCCCGCCCTACCCACCCCCACCCCGGGGGCACCATTCGGCTGTATCTCGGGGCGGACGAGGGTCTGGTTCGGCGGCGCACCGAGGGGGGGAGGCCCCGAGATCCTGGCATCTCAATTCTTTCGAGCTGGGTGTTTCTGCTTGGTTTCGAGCCCCAGGACCCTCACAGATCGATGCGGCTCGAAAAATTGCGCAGATAAAAGTTGTCTGGGGAACAGGTTTTTCTACGATGTTTTAAACTTGTCCACGGCACCGGATCTAAGCAAAGTGTGAGGGGGCATGGGCATGCCTTCTCACATGGCAGCGGGGCTTCTAAGAAGCCCTCCAGCCATCCGAGAAGCCATCCATGGCTTCGGAGAAGGCTCAGGAGGCTGCTTGCAAGGCCGGAGGCCGTCCGAGCCTTCTGAGAGGGCCCGACCCTCCGAACCAACAGCGATAACAATCTCAGGAATGTGCCCTCAGAAGCCGAGGGAATCCTCAAGATCGGCATCGAGAGAAGGTGATGCCAACGCACGAGCATAGGATATGTTTCAAACTGGTACGGCAAATTCGTGTCGTGTCGACCCTGGTGCTGGTCCCTGACACCGCGGAAACCGTTCAACCTTGAACGATCGGCCGTTTTTTCGGAACGTCAGATCCTTCAACATGGACCGACTCTGGGCCGCCGCCGGCGCTCAACGTTGAAGGCCGGCGGCGGGGTCGCCGCTGGTCAACACGACGAGAACCTACCGTACCCTTAGGTCGGGCATGTCCTCCTACAGGCGGATTAGTACCCAAAATAATCCAGAAACCATTCCCAGACTGCTGTTCTACGATTTTTGAATCTTCCTCCCGTAGAGGGACGTGGCGTGCCCGACTTCACCGTACTCTCTGCCCTCCCCCCGGGGCGCGCCGCCGAAGGGTGTTGTGCAGGTGGCCCTTTGCCCAAGGCAGCTACTCCCCGTCCGTCGACCCCCTGGGGCCCTCGGGGCCTCGCGAGGGGTGCTCCGCCCAGGAGAGCCGCCCGCGCCTCCGTGGGAAGGCTGGGGCCACCCTGGGGCCAGGGGCCACCTCCGAGCATCGCTGAGCCGACCCCCAGCCCCACCGGCGCGGCCTCGGCCCCACCATGGGCACCTGAACCACCTGGGGGAGGATATGTGCGCCTGCCCCTTCGGGCTCCGCGAGGCTCGTGGGCTGGTGGGGCTGAGATGCCGCATGGCCCAGCGGGGATGGGGATGGGTGAGACGATGCGAGAAAGAAGGGGGTGGAGGTAGCACGAGGCGGGGTTGGCGTACGGGCCGCGGGCAGCCGACCTCCCCTGCGCCTGAGGCCGCTGCGAACTCGAAAGAGGGCGCCTGATCTTGCAAAGGAGCCGAAGCACCACCGGCTGCACGCGGCAGATGTCGCATCCCCGCCATGAGCGCGTTTTCCTTTCGAGTCTGGCAGGTTTGCTCGCATGGATGGGGTGGCGTGGCGAGGCCCGAAAGGAAGTCTGGAATGCACGCAAGCCGGCACTCGCTTGCACACCTTCTCGGCCCAGCGCTGCTTGATGTGTCGGCGGAGGGGGGGGGGAGGGGAACGCCAGCCAAGCAAACATGCCAGAATCTAAATTCAAGCACGCCCCATGACCCCCACCCGCCTCGACATCGTCAGGCCAGGCCTATCTCAGGTCACCTGGTTTCGCGCCTCGCGCCCCGCGAGGAGGGCGATTAGCGTCGCCCCCTCGCGCCGGCCCCGCACGAGAGAGAAGGGCAGTCGCCCCGGCGACCTCCGGCCCCGGACCGCGGCGAGCGCAGCGCGGTCCTCTTCGCCCCCCCCACCCCCCCCGGGGGCGACCTCGGCCTCTCCCCTAGGGCTGGACCTAGACACTGTTGTTCGTTCTGCTCTCCAGAAAACGAAGACAAAACGCTGTTTCTTGCTGTGCTTGGACCGAAACGTTGTTCTTGTCGTTGCTTTGTTCCTTTTCAGGTGCCTCCCTGCCAAAACGGAAAGCAAAACGCGGCCGAAGTCCAGCAGAACAGCGTTTAGGTCCAGCCCTGCTGCCGCCCCCCCTGGTGGGCGCCAAGGCTCCCTGGCGCCACCAGCCTGTCCCCCGTCGAGGCAGAGGCGGACGCCGGGGGAGCCCGACGCAGACGGCGCCCACCCCCACCGCAGGACCAAGGATCGGGGGCGGCCAAAAGGGGGGCGTCCAAGAAGACGGGACGCAAATCATGGCGGGCAGCTCAGGGGGGGGGGGGGGGGGGACGTAATGTAAGAAGAAGAGGCGCCATGAAATCTGGGAAGATCTCATGGCCCCCGCCATGATATCCACCCCATAGTCATCACCCCCCCTCCTGGCCGCCCCCGAAAGGACCGCGGGGCCGAGGCCTCACGGGAGAGGATGGGGAGACAGGCCCGAAGACTGCGGACCTCGCAGACCTCCCCCGAGCGTAAAAGAAGAAAAACCGGCAGACACAGAAACTCTTTGCGCTCCGCGCGGATTTCTGGGATCTGCGCTGAACCCCCCTCCCTGTCGCGCGGAGCGCGCCAGGGGCGGCGGCGGAGGCGCCGCTGGGGGGGGCCCGCGCGGATCCAAGAGATCCGCACGGAGCGCCAAAAGTTAATGCTCATGCAGTTTTTTCCTCGAGAAGGGCTGAACCTAAACGTTGTTTTTCGTTTTGCTTTCGTTTTGTTGTTCGTTTTGCTCTACCCGTTTTCCTGTACCTCCCTGCCAAAACGGAAAATCAAAACACAGCCGAAGTCCAGCAGAACAGCGTTTAGGTTCAGCCCTGTCCCCGAGATCGTCCACCCCGACAGATTTTGCAGGCAACGGCACTGGAGATCGCGGCGGAGATCGCTGTCGAGCCGCCAAACGGCAGCGGGAAAGGGAGGAGAGGCCGGCGAGAGCAGTAGCACGCCGGCGCGGGGGCTGTGTGAGAGGCAGCGACAGGGGGGGGCACTGGCCCAGGGGGGGGAATGGTGGGCCTGTTTTCCACCGTCACCACCACAAGTAGGAGGGGGAGGGGGTCCTCCAGTCCTTTTCCTTGTAAACAACTTCCCCCCGTCGCACCCCGAGGTCGGTTTTTAGGGCGGGCCGGGCGTCTCGCCGGAGACGTCCTCACCTCTTGTGGCTCTGAAGCTTGAGAAATGGCAACAGTTTCACCGACGGAGGGCGGGTGGTTTTCAGAATGTGGCTCTCGCCGTAGCGCCAAGGATTGAGGGCGACTCCTTTTCAAAATGTGGCTCTCGCCGTCGCGCCGCGCACATTCGATTTGAAACTCTTCAAGAGTTTCACGGATTCCCATGATCAGCGTATCAGACATGGTGTGTTGGAAGGATTTAGGATTGTGCGGGTGCAACAGTTATGTTGATTCATGGTGCTGAAGTCCCAAACACTGCGTTCTGGTACGATTCCAAGTCGTCAGGACGCAGCACTCAGGTTGATCCATGGCGTGGCAATCCCGAGAACAATGTTTTAGCATGCTTCAAGATCATCGAACGGTTGTCTTCCAACGAGGCAGCTCCCTCAATGGAAATGGCCCGTTGTAGGGACCTATGAAGAGGGAGCTTGGAGGGAGGGTTAACTCCAACATCGTTGATGACTCTTGGGTTTACACGGATCCTCCTCCTCCTCCTCCGCGTCCTCCTCCTCATCCTCCAACTCCTTCCCCCCTCCAACTTATGGTGGTGGTGGTGGAAGACAGGCCCATCAGGGAGCATCGAGCTGGAATCTGCGCTGCACCGCCGATCGATCGGCCAGGGCTCCCAGGTGGCGAAGTCGCACACTCCTGGGCAGGGCGGGCGATCGGGCCCCGCACAACCCTCCTCGAAATCGGACGCGAGGTCCGCAAGGCTTTGATCGACGCGCGCAGCGCGGCCCGCGGGGTCCGAACAAAAAATGCGGTCGCCCACTTCGGCGCGCACATCTCCACTGGGGGTCCGGGGGCGCCGCCACGCCGCGGGAAACGAGACTGGTGCTCGACTTCGAGGAGCGGATGTACGTCGGCAGTCCAGGAGCGATTGGGGGTCGAGGCTTCCCCCCCCCTTCTGGCCATCGCTCGGACGTCCATTCCCTGTGCTTTGTTCGGTTTCGTGTGTGGTTGTTTCGCCAAATGATCAAGGATGCTCCTCGAAGGTCCTCGCCGAAGAAAAAATGCATACGTCAGAGCAATGCCAAGCCTGAGCCCATCCCTCCCTCGCGTTGCCGCGTTCACGGTGGAGCGCGTCCAGGAGACGCGCGCGCCCGCGCCGCCCGCGTAGCAGACGCACGCCGCCGCCGACGACACCGCCGTCGAAGAGAGGAGCGCGAGAGGACAAGGAGGATGAGGAGCAGGAGGAGGAGGAGGAGGAGGAGCAGGAGGAGGAGGAGGGGCAGGAGGAAGAGGAGGGGCAGGAGGAAGAGGAGGAGGAGAGGAGGAGGATGAGAAGGAGCAGAGCAGAGGAGGAGGAGGAGGAGGAGGAGGAGGAGGAGAGGAGGAGAGGAACAGAAGGAGGAGGAGGAGGAGGACGAGGAGACAAGGGGGAGTAGGAGGAGCAGAAGGAGGAGCACCGGGCACTGGTTCGAGAAGGGTGATTTCGACGGCTGCTGGGGCGCCCCAGGTCGAGCTGAGGGGCCTGAGGTCGGGCCGGGGGGGCCCCAGGTCTAGCGAAACCAGCCTTGCTCAACGAACACTTCTGGCAGCCTCCAGGAGGAGGAGGAGGAGGAGGCGGAGGAGCAGCAGAAGGAGGAGGAGCGAGGGGAGGAGCGAGGGGAGGAGGAGGAGGAGGAGGAGGAGGAGGAGGAGGAGGAGGAGGAGGAGCAGAAGGAGGAGGAGCGGAGGAGGAGGAGGAGGAGGAGGAGGAGGAGGTGGTGGTGGTGAAGCATCAACTGGTCCTGAATCCTGCTCGACGGATCAGCGGCGACCGATGGGCGGCGTGGGATCACTGTGTCCCCGCCGATGTCAAACAATCGCCATCCCCCGTGGCTCCCTCTCCAGGACGCATGGCTGGAGTGGACGGGTCGAAATCAGACAACAAACACGAACTCAAGGCAGAGCTAAGGTGGCACATACGAGGAGGAGGCACAGAAGAAGGAAGGCCGAGAGGAGGGAGGACAAGAGGGACGAAGGAGGGTAGGCGCCACCGAAACTCATTCAGGCTAAAGAACTGCACGAAGCATTCGGGCACGTAATTGGCACGAAACCTCAAAAAAGCACTGGCGAGCAGAACTGAATTGGCCGGCCGGGTTAACGTCACCACATTCAGGGGGAAGGGGAAGAGGAGAGGGACGAGGACGGAGGCGGAGGGGGGAAGAAGAGGAGGAAGGGCAAACAAAGTAACGTGGTCATCGCCCGACTGCCTGTCAGTCAGGGCGCCCGCATGACCTGGCTGCGCGACCAACCACTAGGGAACCAACGCCAGGGCCCTATCCCCTGCGTCGTCTTCCTCGCTTCTGGACGGGCTGTTCAGGAGGCTCCCAAGTTCCCCGAAACCTCACGCGCCCGCGCTCGAGCACAGTCTGGCCTACAGCAATACGGCTCACAACATTGCTAGCTGCACCCGGCGTGCTCACATCCCTCTCACTCTGCTCACTACTCATGACTTGCGATGCCTGGAGCTGCGGAGGAGCCGCTCCAGACTGCCCTGCACCTTCCTCTCCTGCGTCGTCCTGGGGGGCGGTCCTATTTTGGCCTGGCTGCCCATCTTGACGAAGAGCGCCGTGATGACGCCATTGATCGGCACCATGAAGGTGCCGCCCCCCAGCGTCGTCCACGCGTTGACGAAGTAGGTGTGGCGCACCATGCGGTTCTTGATGGCCACCTCCTTCTCCGCCCATACCTCCTTGACCTTCCAATATTTGAGATACTCTGCTGCCGTCACCATCGGCAGCGTCCTGATCGTATTCACGAACTCGGTGAGGGCCTTCAGCTCCTTCTGAACGTCTTGCTGCTGCTGAAGCCAGGCGTTGCCTACCAGCGCCCCGAGCATCGTCATGCACAAGACGAGGCCTGGATGACCCTGACCGTGATCCGCTGGCTTGGCCTTGACTGCGTCCATGTACTGCTCTATCGTCGTGATCGCCACCGCGTTCAGCTCGTTCTCCTGAGGAAGAAGCTGCGTCGATAAGAGACAGCCCTCCAGCGCTCTGTTGCGCTGAGCCGTGTTGAGCTGGAGCTTGATCAGGTCCGTCGCCGTCTCTCCATCGGACTCGTCGGTGTCCGCGGCCATCATCGCAGCACCTGCGTCGCCTCCCTGTCGCCCCTTCTTCTGGGGCGGGGGGCGCTCGCCGTTGGAGCCACCACCGAAGGAGATCTTGGGAGAGTCCGTCGCCAGCCGCTTCTTGGCCTCCGCTAGCTTGCCCTGGTCGATTGCCAGCGCCCACAACGACATCAGCAGTGAAGACGAACTGAGCTGTACTCGGCAGTTCAATGTGTGTTCTGATATGCCTCTGGAGTTGCTCAAGAGAAATGTGTTCCAGACCGCAGGCCGGGCAGGCTAGCGATAAGGGCTGGACTACCTGATGCTGCACAGGGCTGCGATCACAATGGCACGCATGATTGAGGAATAGCCGCCGAACATGCTGCTGGGATATAGCGCGCGTGGCATGCACACTCATGCACCAAGGGCATTGGTTAGTTATTGTAAGTAGCTGGCTTAATGCACGATGACCATGGCTGCCTTCTCGGGTGAAGCGCATGTGCGCGTACCACGCAGTTTGCGAGTCAAACGTGAGTCCACATACTGCCCCACTACTAGTAGTTTCATTACATACCCAGACAGGTGCAGGTGGCGGTTCAGGTAGCTGCTCATCTTGTACACCCCTAGGTTCGTGTAGTGCTCGGCCTCTAGCATCAATAACTCCCTCCCAAAAACGCTGACGTAGTTTAGCGACATTAAGTTTCAGGAA